CGAATAGCGCTAATAGCGTCTTCCCGAATCCAGCCTATAAATACTTCGAAGCGTTTGGTTTGGACCACTTAGAATTAGTCCATTCTATGCGTGCATTCGTTTATGCAGCGGTTAGTGCAGTGAGTATCATTTAATCTTTGTTCAACACTCGGTGAACAACAAGGATAAAGTAACACTTCTGCGCTAACCGCTGCATAAACGAATGCACGCATAGAATGGACTACCGATGGCGGGTAGAAACACGAGTAGAGTGAGAGGCAGATAAATGGATGAACGTTCTTTCTCTGTTTACTAAACCTGATTGGTTGTTGATCCAGCAATACTGCTCCAACCAATCAGGCTTTGTAAACAGAGAAAGAAAACGTTCATCCATTTATCTGCCTCTCACTCTATTCGTGTTCCTATCTCCACCACCGCTATCGATAGTCTATTTGGGGTGATCCCGATTGACCACGGCTCGATTGGACACCACCAATCACAGCGACCGGTGCTTAGGAGCTTTGTAGTCTCAAGCGCTGTGAGTGGCTCGTGTCCAACTGGGTGCCACCCGTCTATTTTATACATCGATGGTAATACTACATTAATGCGGTTTGATTGATTTGGATTGCTCCATGGTAAAAGAAAATGGCGACGATTTTTCGATTATCGACCGCACCTGTCCCTTCTCTGATTTATCTAGAACTTTAGTTGCAAATTACTCGCCCAAAATTTTTTCACGTGCATTGTACGTGTGTGCCTTCCATCAAGCAATACAAATGACACGATGCGACACAATGGAGCATTTCATCTTGTTGTTTGCCAATGTTAACTGAAGATGACATGATCACTGTGTCGCACTGTGTCGCTTATTGTTGGAAGGCACACTGCGTGCATTCGTTTATGCAGCAGTTAGCGCAGTGAGTATCATTTAATCTTTGTTCAACACTCGGTGAACAACAAGGATAAAGTAAGGGCCCAGACACAAGCTTTTGCATAACACATAGTGCATAAGCGAATCGACTAATCAGAAGCTTTCCTTTCCTCTCATTCCATGGAAAAGAAGAATTTCGATTGGTTGATTCCATTATGCACTATGTATTATGCGTTATGCAAAAGCTTGTGTCTGGGCCCTAAAGCGGGGAGCACAGATTCTTGCTTAACGCATGACACATGAGGCATAAGAAATTGAACCAACCAGAGTTCTCTATTACATGGAAGGGAAAGAAACGGAGAATTTCGATTGGTACATATTCTTATGCATTACGTGTTATGCGTTATGCAAGAGTCTGTGCTCCCCGCTTTATACTTCTGCGCTAACCGCTACATAAACGCATGCACACATAGTGTCAGTATTGTGAACGCATTAATGGCTCGAGCCCACTAAAGACCCTCTAATTAGAGTCTATTGTATATGTTCTGTGTAGAGTCCGGTCACGACGTATAGACGGTTTTGAAAATGACGATCGGACCGGATTTTTCTTCAACTTGCGCTAGTTTGAAATATATGACATTGGCCGCGGTCCGATTCACGCTTACAACGCTTAAAAATCATTTTATCCTTCTTGTTTATCAAATGTTAAACGAAGACAAACGATGCTCATTAGCGTTGTCAGCGTGAATCGGACCACGGCCGTTATCTAGCCTTTTGACGACGAATTGTTGCAAAACAGTGCGCAACAAACTATTTTTACTTATAGCGTTTTCGGCCCGGCCGGGTTTGCACCAACCTGGGTTGGATTAATGGCGTTTTGCGCTCTCCCATTGGGCTGCGTTCCACTTAACGCTCGCAATGCTCGCGAGCATCATTTATCCTTGTTTAACATTTGATAAACGACAAGGATGAAATGATTCCACGAGCGTTATGAGCGTTAAGTGGAACGCAGCCATAGTAGAGCGTGTGACGTCAACCAATAGGAAAGATTTATCCAACCCAGAATTAATGCAAACCCGATCGGGCCGAAAACGCTATTAGAAAGACGTACTTATATTTAGACATTATACAAAATAAAAAAGTTGGACTACGTATATTTCACCACGTGTTTACTTGTTCACCAGGAACTATAAAGCTTCCGGTTTGGTAATTGTCGCTCGTCGATAAAGTAGTTTAATTTGACCTACTTCGCGTTTGAGAATTGTGAACTAGTTCATCTAGTTCACGTAAAAGATCCGTTCATTTTACGCTTTCATTCATAAATTACCTATTTCTATTTCACACATCATACACATACGACCGCGTTGCATAATCGATCGACATATCGTGTCGCTACATTTCGTCGCTATGACAGATTTCCTAACCTGTATAATTATCAACTTTAACGATTGATATTTCGGTCCGCGGGACAGAGCGACGCTGTTTCTTTCCAAATCTTTTGTTTCATGCAAAAAACCCAAAAACACGTATAAGCGCGTCGAATAAACCCAACTTTATTAATTTTTGAGTTCCGTAAGCTAAATTATATAATTATCATGAATCATTGTACATTGTGCATTTAATATTATATATAATTAATAACTCGACTGTAGCATTCGAAAAGATTAATGAAATATTTTAGTGGAAATTATTGCAGAGAATTTTTCACATATACAAAATAGATTTAACAAGAGAATCAAAGATAATTGTGATATTAAAGTAATTTTGAGATATGAAAATGACAGAGGATCATGTGTGTGATAGAATTATTTTGTAAAAGAATATTTTTCTAATTTATATTAAACGATGAAGATATAGAAAAGGATTATAACCTGACGATCTCTTCTGGGAAACAGCAGTTAATAATTGTTATATATTCCGACAGGGTAGTACCCGGTTCAGCTTGAATCTCTTGTATCTTTCTCAAGCCACCAGATGTTACGAACAGTTTCCTTGCCCTTGTATCATTCGGCAAAATCTGTATGTGTAGAAACATAACATTAACGAATTGAACTAATTGAACAAGCGGAAACAACTGACTTTATTTATTGAAGAATTATATCGGTTCTCACAACAAAAAAGTCGAGTTCAGTGAATTGAGAACACGTCTTACGAGTTAGCAGAATCAAATGAGCAAAATCAATTCTAATTCTTTTTACTTGTTGCCCATTTGTTGCTAAAACGTTGTTAAAAAGAAAAAATTTATTGTTCTGTTAATTTTATTATTTTCGTAAAAAAATTTAATTTTTTTTTTTTCTTAAAAAACGTTTTTTGAGGTAATATTTTTTGCTATAAAATTGTTTACACAGATTTTATATTGAGTTACTTAAAGATTATTGTAATATGATGCTATGAGCACTAATATTATTTAACTGGAACAGTAATTACTATTCTAGTTTTCTTAAAATTGCGTTTCAAACTGAAAATAAATTTGATCCACAGTTTGCAAGATATAAATTCACATGGAATTGTTTCAGCACTAAAAATCCAAGCTTGACCGCTTAGTCCAGATCTACAATAGGTGTTTTAAGTCTTGAGCCGTTGAGAAATTGATCAATTGAGGGGATGGGCGGAATAAAAGTACAATTCTACTTAGACCCTTTTTCTGGAGATTAGCTTTTTTATATAATGTTGATCATTATAGAGAAGTATTGTAACATGTAACTTCTTAAAGACATTACATAAATTCATTTGATATTACTGTACCCATGTATAATGTGTATAATAAAAAAATAGCAAGTTCTTTTAATTTTTATCAAAATTAAGATTTTATGATTAGGTCTTTATTCTGCCCATCCCCTCAAGTACAGTACTCGAATGCGAGGAAAATAATTGACTATGATTCGTCCATTTCCTATGGTTTAAGGCTTAGATGAACCTATTGTAGATTTGGGCTTAGCCTTTATTTCTTAGTTATTAGGTGTTCATATGGCGGTCTAATATGATATCTTAATATTGTTAAAAAACAAATAATGTTCTGTTAAAAGAAAATTAACTATTCTATTAAGCTAGAATGCCAACATGAGCGTAGTTACACGAGACATACGGAGGATTTAATGCTCTTTTTGTGTTAATTTATTGCTCTAATCCCAATTTGATTATTCTAGCTGTTTAGCAAGAAATAATTTTTTCGGTAACTTATATAAAAAAAGTTAGAATGCACATTAAAAAAAAAACTAAAACAAAAATACATTATAATTTAGTGTTAATGTGCTACGTGCTCGTAATATAAATTAGTTTAAACTTTGGAACGCTATCCTTTGCGCAAAAAAAGTTATCCATTTACGGGGGGGAGGGGGGGGGGAGACAACACCTACATCATACATATCCCTTTTGCTGTAAAACTAATCGGCAGAATTTTATGAAACTTTCTGTGAAATATCATGCACTGTCCCACGAAATGTGCTACATGTGGACGATTATTGTGCTCCATCCCTTATGCGCGAAAAGCGTGTGTCATACAAGAGAGAAGTACCAAAAATAACGATTTCGAAATTTTTTTTACATTGTAATACCTACTGATTTTATCGCTCGGAAAATACATATTAATCAATTTTATTGCTCTACTCTCATTTGCGGAAAACAACCCCTATACCATGTCTCTTTTGTTGTAAAACCAATCAACAGAATTTCATGTAACTTTCTGTGAAATATCATGCACTGCTCTATAAAAGTTTTTCAGTATTTTAAAAAATTTACATGTAAATGTTTCAATGGAGGAAAAACTTTACATTACTTATACATTACATACAATTGTATATACAAAGAGTTTTATTTTTGCTCATTTACACATTTGCATAAAAATTTTAAAATACTGATCGACTTTAAAATATGTACTTGCATATATACCATATTGTAGTCTTTTTCAAACTGCGCGCCGAATTTTTTCCGGACTAAATAAACGCAATTAAAATTACTCTAGTAATCGCGAATTAAATTGACAAACAATTTAATAATTTATAATATATTTATAATATATTAGTAATTCAAAATTGAATTATTTAAAGCAACGAAGATCCAGCTCCAACCGTAATAGGCCGTTACACCCTAATATTAATTGAGTTTCTCAAATATACGGTCATAAATATATTGTTTAAAATATGTGTTGAAAATTTTGTCCTTTAATATTTTTTAATATAAATACTCAATATTTGTTATTATTTATTTATAAAGAACATCGTAATAGTTTTATGACAAAAGTCATCACGTGATCTTTTTTGTCGCTGAAACGGCCAGTTTGAGTGGCACGTAAAAACGTCCGGCGGGGTTTTCACTGTTTCCGGGAAGTACTCTTTCTGGTATTTATTTTAAAAGAGAGCGAGGGGACCGGAAATTATTAAGCTTGTCGCATATAAAATATATAGTAAACTAATCACTAGGGCCGGTATTCCTAGTCGATTCTCATTTCAAGACCGTCTTAAGTAATGTCTTAAAACGCTAATGCAGCCCTCTGATTGATTCGTGACTTCTTAAGACCGCACTTAAGACGAATATAAGATGAATATAATATCTGACTATGAATACCGGCCTAGATCTGTGTATTTGTGATATTAGTACGTATCTGTGATAAAAAAATGTAAAAATTATTAGATATTATTATATTATATTAAAGCCGTTTTTTTTGCTAATATTAAATAGATATATTTTTATTTTCTTAAAATTTATGTATATATATATATATATATATATATATATAAAACTTTTTTTCTATTTTTAAATTAAAATATACAACTTATTTTGTGCAATTTAACCTAAAATGCCCTTTTTTTGTCCTACTTTTGAGGCTTAGTGGTCTGCTTTTGTGTACGGGAGTGGTTTACTTGTACACTGTAGTAATTGCTCGCTGCGTGCAATCACAGCGACTTCCGCGTAGGGAGTTTCTTTCACTTTTTTTCTAGCGCTGTGATTGACTTTTGCACAATTGGCTCAACATTCTGAAACATATTTATTGCTTTTCGATAGATTGGATTTTAATACCTTTATGCAAAATGATGAGGACGGTATAAAAACGAATTATGAAAAAAAAAATTGAAAATCCATCTTTGATGGCTAATTTTCGATCTGTATTAATTACGCGATTTTTATTTTTATTTTGCGAGTATTTTTATCATTTTATGCATCTTAAATTCTTTTAATTTGAATAGATACGTGCCGCGTTTTGACTTTTTAAAAATATTTTATATCACTCTTTTATTTCCTTCCGTTTCTGCGTGTTATTTGTTTAAATCTACTTTGCTCGCTCTCTTCTGTTTACAGTTTGTTGCTTGATGTTGGATCGTTAGTGAAGCTACGATACTGATGTATAGTAGAAGATATTGCAACATGTGCGTTTTCAGCTACATTCCATCAAATTCCGACGACAAAAGTATCAAAAACCATTGTTAATTTTACACTTATTGCAGTTTAAGAGAGATTATTGAATCAATCTGAGAATTCCGTGAAAATAGCTGACGAACAATGATTTATGCTTAATTTGCGCCGTGTAAAGCTAAATTTGACGTATTTTTAGATGAAAATACATTTGGAGTGGATAAATGTACATTCTAAGAAATTAGAAATTGTACTTTTGCGTTCGAGCGTTTCCTCGCAAAAATGTCAAAAAGCTATATGGGACTACATACAAGAGACTGATATAATTTGAACTTAATTGACGGTTTAATGATTGGAGATTAAAGAATATAGTTAGTTCGGGTTACACTTTAAGAAAAAATGTATTGATTTACTATAATAGTCATTAGATCATTCATATAGACATATCATAAGTGTCATTTTGATATCGTGTAATCGCGAGCGCTCGGTACATAAAACACCGACAACGAGACGAGATAACTGCCTTAAATTTTCAAGATAAGTGACAGTTTGAATGACGTAAAAACAGAAACGTTTTATCTCTATAAATTGCATTACACATTTGTACTAGTGTATCTGTAACATCTCTTCTGCAAAGTCTCCTAATCAGTCTTTCCAAAATCACGCGCAAATACTGTATCTATTACAAGAACCGAGTTTATTAAAAGCTGCAATTAAAAATTTTTTTATGTATCCGAAAAATTAAAATTTTAACATTTTATAGAAATTGTGAAGTTTGTTGATTATATATTTGTGTGAATGATACATTAAAGAAAGGAATAGTAATAAAAAAATAAGAAGAAAAGAGAAAGAAGTTAACGACGAAAATGAAAAATAATCAGCATTGCATGATTCTTAACACGAGTGAGACCAACAATTATCATCAACCGGTCTCGGCAAAACCTTCAGTTGTTTCAGTATCAAGTATCGACTCCGACGTCAGTGACAGAAGAGATGTACGAGAAGAATTATACGCCGGGATTTTTAGGAGGCACAGAAAAACTATATTGGTATTAGGCAGTTTTCTCAAAATGTTAAGGGTGAATAGAAACATGAACAATTACGCTAGCATTAAACCCAATGACGAAACAGATGAATAAATTAAATTATTAAATCATTGCTGGATCAATTAAGTAACAGAGAATTTACGTTTTAAAGTGTTATTTGAGTATGTGTGTGTGTGTGTGTGTGTGTGTGTGTGTGTGTGTGTGTGTGTGTGTGTGTGTGTGTGTGTGTGTGTGTGTGTGTGTGTGTG